TTCTTTTTTGTTTAAATTTCCCTTTTTTTTTAATTCTTGTTTCATAAGTTTGAGCTCAGGGAAATTCCAAGGAGCTTAAAACGACATTTGTAGCTCAAGTGTACGTGGGGTAATCTTCAGTTAAAATTTTGGGGGGACCCGATTTTCGGCCATTTTGGACGAAAATCGGCCTAAAAGCTAATTTTAATTTAGTGCAACTTTTTTCTTGCAGTTTTCAAGAAAATTGGGCTGTTCTCCGCTGTCGCAGAGTGCATTCAAAGAAAACTTATCAAATCGATTTGAATACTTACCTATCTAATAAATTTATCACAACATTAGGCTAAAAGCATCTGACAGTATCCTGTCTGGTATTCAATCAAATGCCACTTACAGTGAATGGGCGGCTATCATGCCATAGACGGTCATCCGAAACAACATGTACACGCTCCGTATGTTTGAATACCCGAATTGGCCATAAAACACATTGTGCCAAAAAATTCCAAACAATGTCAACTTTTATAATTTTGTTCGAAATGCATAAATTATACCGTGAGCGTGCAAATTTTTACAAGGTATAAGAGCATATTTTTACTCTCGCGGGAGTACGAGTGTTTTAAAAGTTATCTATATAGACATATGCTAGTCAGGATAAAATTGAAAGCGGAGTAACTCAAATGCCTACAACCATACCATGTTGAATGCACCGGTTCTCGTCCGATCACCGAAGTTAAGCAACATTGGCCCTGTTAGTACTTGGATGGGGGACCGCCTGGGAACACCAGGTGTTGTAGGCTTTTATTCAAAGCAAGAGTAATAATTTTAGTTTTATACGCTAAAAATTATTGCTGTTTAAAGTTTGGTGATGTAATCAAGTTAAGCCTAATCGAGCGTGGTGCAAAAATTTTCAATGGGTCAATTCTTAGCCAAAACAATACAAAACCGAACGAAAAGTTTTTTTTGCAGTATCAATTTTGCGTACAATCAGCTGCTGATAGGCAAAAAATAATGGAGATAACTATTGGGGTCTTTCAGTTATAGCCTTTGAATTTCGTTGATGTCAAAGAGTTAAGCTCAATCGAGCCTGGTGAATTGCGCGAACGTCCATAACTTGCCCAAATATTTTAAAATTTCCAAAAGTTATTATTTGGTTCATAAGATCATTGTCGAATCTTGAGGGATTGAGAAAATGAGCCCATTTTGTCCGTTCAACTTACAGTTATAAGCTTTTGAAATCTCGGTGATGTCAAAAAGTTACGCCTAATCGAGCGTGGTGCAAAAAATGAAACTTTCAAAAATTTTTGGTTTTTTTCGTTGAAAGTTCATTTTTTTATCTTGTTTCATAAATTACAGCTCAGGAAAATTCCAACGAGCCCAAAACGACGTTTCTAGCTTAACTGTACGTGGAGTAATCATCAGTTGAAAATTTGGGGGGACCCGAATTTCGGCCATTTTGGACGAAAATTGGCCTAAAATCTAACTTTTAAGTATCACAATTTTTAAGCATAATTTTATCACAACCTTTAGGCTAAAAACAACTGACAGTATACTGGCTGGTATTCAATCATATGCCACTTACAGTGAATGTGCGGCTATCATGTCATAGATGGTCATCCAAGACACCCTGTACATGCTCCGTAGGTTTTGACCAGCCGATTTGGCCATAAAACACATTGGGCCAAAAAATTCCAATTAATGTCAATTTTTAAAATTTAGTTTGAAGTGCATAAATTATAACGTGAGCGTGCAAATTTTTACATAGTATAAGAGCATATTTTTACTCTCGCGCGAGAGTGATTGTTTTAAAAGTAATGTACACAGACATATGCTAGTCAGGATAAAAATGAAAGCGGAGTAACTCAAATGCCTACAACCATACCATGTTGAATGCACCGGTTCTCGTCCGATCACCGAAGTTAAGCAACATTGGGCCTAGTTAGTACTTGGATGGGGGACCGCCTGGGAACACCAGGTGTTGTAGGCTTTTATTCAAAGCAAGAGTAATAATTTTAGTTTTATACGCTAAAAATTATTGCTGTTTAAAGTTTGGTGATGTAATCAAGTTAAGCCTAATCGAGCGTGGTGCAAAAATTTTCAATGGGTCAATTCTTAGCCAAAACAATACAAAACCGAACGAAAAGTTTTTTTTGCAGTATCAATTTTGCGTACAATCAGCTGCTGATAGGCAAAAAATAATGGAGATAACTATTGGGGTCTTTCAGTTATAGCCTTTGAATTTCGTTGATGTCAAAGAGTTAAGCTCAATCGAGCCTGGTGAATTGCGCGAACGTCCATAACTTGCCCAAATATTTTAAAATTTCCAAAAGTTATTATTTGGTTCATAAGATCATTGTCGAATCTTGAGGGATTGAGAAAATGAGCCCATTTTGTCCGTTCAACTTACAGTTATAAGCTTTTGAAATCTCGGTGATGTCAAAAAGTTACGCCTAATCGAGCGTGGTGCAAAAAATGAAACTTTCAAAAATTTTTGGTTTTTTTCGTTGAAAGTTCATTTTTTTATCTTGTTTCATAAATTACAGCTCAGGAAAATTCCAACGAGCCCAAAACGACGTTTCTAGCTTAACTGTACGTGGAGTAATCATCAGTTGAAAATTTGGGGGGACCCGAATTTCGGCCATTTTGGACGAAAATTGGCCTAAAATCTAACTTTTAAGTATCACAATTTTTAAGCATAATTTTATCACAACCTTTAGGCTAAAAACAACTGACAGTATACTGGCTGGTATTCAATCATATGCCACTTACAGTGAATGTGCGGCTATCATGTCATAGATGGTCATCCAAGACACCCTGTACATGCTCCGTAGGTTTTGACCAGCCGATTTGGCCATAAAACACATTGGGCCAAAAAATTCCAATTAATGTCAATTTTTAAAATTTAGTTTGAAGTGCATAAATTATAACGTGAGCGTGCAAATTTTTACATAGTATAAGAGCATATTTTTACTCTCGCGCGAGAGTGATTGTTTTAAAAGTAATGTACACAGACATATGCTAGTCAGGATAAAAATGAAAGCGGAGTAACTCAAATGCCTACGACCATACCATGTTGAATGCACCGGTTCTCGTCCGATCACCGAAGTTAAGCAACTTTGGGCCTGGTTAGTACTTGGATGGGAGACCGCCTGGGAACACCATGTATTGTAAATTTTTATTTGAAGCAAATTAAAACTTTTACTTTTATACGCTAAAAGTTATTGCTGTTTAAAGTTTGGCGATGTCAAAAAGTTAAGCCTAATCGAGCGTGGTTCAAAAATTTTCAATGGGATGACATTTTAGCCGAAACAATACAAAACCGAACGAAAAGTTTCTTTTGCAGTATCCATTTTGCGTACAATCAGCTGCTGATAGGCCAAAAAAAATGAAGATAACTTTTGGGGTTTTTAAGTTATAGCCTTTTGAATTTCGGTGATGTCAAAAAGTTAAGGTCAATCGAGCCTGGTGAATTGCGCGAACGTCCATAACTTGCCCAAAAATTTTAAAATTTCCAAAATTTATTATTTGGTTCATAAGATCATGGTCGAATCTTGGGGGACTGAGAAAATGAACCCATTTTGTCCGTCCAACTTAAAGTTATAAGCTTTTGAAATCCCTGTGATGTCTAAAAGTTAAGCCTACTCGAGCGTGGTGCAAAAAATGAAACTTTCAAAATTTTTGTTTTTTTTTTGTTTAAATTTCACTTTTTTCATCTTGTTTCAATAGTTTGAGCTCAGGAAAATTCCAACGAGCCCAAAACTACATTTGTAGCTTAAATGTACGTGGAGTAATCATCAGTTAAAATTTTTTGGGGGAGCCGAATTTCGGCCATTTTAGACGAAAATCGGCTTAAAAGCTAACTTTAATTTAGTGCAACTTTTTTCTTGCATTTTTCAAAAAAATTGGGCTGTTCTCCGCTGTCGCAGAGTGCATTCAAAGAAAACTTATCAAATCGATTTGAATACTTACCTATTTAATAAATTTATCACAACATTAGGCTAAAAGCAACTGACAGTATCCTGGCTGGTATTCAATCATATGCCACTTACAGTGAATGTGCGGCTATCATGCCATAGATGGTCATCCAAGACACCCTGTACATGCTCCGTAGGTTTTGACCAGCCGATTTGGCCATAAAACACATTGGGCCAAAAAATTCCAATTAATGTCAATTTTTAAATTTTAGTTTGAAGTGCATAAATTATAACGTGAGCGTGCAAAGTTTTTCATGGTATAAGAGCATAATTTTACTCTCGCGCGAGGGCGAGTGTTTTAAAAGTAATGTTCATAGACATATGCTAGTCAGGTTAAAAATGAAATCGGACTAACTCAAATGCCTACGACCATACCATGTTGAATGCACCGGTTCTCGTCCGATCACCGAGGTTAAGCAATTTTGGGCCTGGTTAGTACTTTGATGGGAGACCGCCTGGGAACACCACGTGTTGTAGGCTTTTATTTAAGGCAAAATAATTACTTTTACTTTTATACGCTAAGAGTTATTGCTGTTTTAAGTTCGCGGATGTCAAAAAGTTAAGCCTAATCGAGCGTGGTGCAAAAAACAAATTTTTCAAAATTTTTGTTTTTTTTGTTTAAGTTTCACTTTTTTCATCTCGTTTCATAAAATTGAGCTCAGGAAAATTCCAACGAGCACAAAACAACGTTCGTAGTTTAAGTGTAAGTGGACTAAAAATCAGTTAAAATTTTGGGTGGGGGTGCGGTTTTTGGCCATTTTGGACGAAAATTGGCCTAAAAGCTAATTTTAAATTCAGTTGAATTTTTTTCTTGCCTTTTTCAAGAGAATTGGGCTGCTTTCCGCTGTCGCAGAGTGAATTCAAAGAAAACTTATCAAATAGTCTTGAATACTTACCTATTTATCACAGCATTAGGCTGAAAGCAACTGATAGTATCCTGGCTGGTATGCGCTTATCATGTGCGGCTATCAGGCCATAATACGAGCGTGGGCTGTCTTCCGCTGTCGCAGAGTGCATTCAAAGGAAACTTATCAAATAGATTTGAATACTTGCCTATTTAATAAGTTTATCATAAAAAATAGGCTAAAAGCAACAGACCGTATCCTGGCTGGTATGCGCTTATCCTGTGCGGCTATCATGCCATAATACGAGCGTGGGCTGTCTTCCGCTGTCGCAGAGCGCATTCAAAGAAACATTATCAAATAGATTTGAATACTTACCTATTTAATAAGTTTATCACAACAATTAGGCTTAAAGCAACAGACAGTATCCTGGCTGGTATGCGGCTATCGTGTGCGGCTATCATGCCATAATACGAGCGTGGGCTGTCTTCCGCTGCCGCAGAGTGGATTCAAAGAAATTTTATCATATAGATTTGAATACTTATCTATTTAATAAGTTTATCATAAAAAATAGGCTAAAAGCAACAGACCGTATCCTGGCTGGTATGCGCTTATCCTGTGCGGCTATCATGCCATAATACGAGCGTGGGCTGTCTTCCGCTGTCGCAGAGCTCATTCAAAGAAACATTATCAAATAGATTTGAATACTTACCTATTTAATAAGTTTATCACAACAATTAGGCTAAAAGCAACAGACAGTAACCTGGCTGGTATGCGGCTATCATGTGCGGCTATCATGCCATAATACGAGCGTGGGCTGTCTTCCGCTGTCGCAGAGTGCATTCAAAGAAAGCTTATCAAAAAGATTTGAATACTTACCTATTTAATAAGTTTATCACAACAATTAGGCTAAAAGCAACAGTCAGTATCCTGGCTGGTATGCGCTTATCATGTGCGGCTATCATGCCATATTACGAGCGTGGGCTGTCTTCCGCTGTCGCAGAGCGCATTCAAAGAAAACTTATCAAATAGATTTGAATACTTACCTATTTAAAAGGTTTATCACAACAATTAGGCTAAAAGCAACTGACATTATCCTGGCTGGTATGCGGTTATCATGTGTGGCTATCATGCCATAATACGAGCGTGGGCTGTCTTCCGCTGTCGCAGAGTGGATTCAAAGAAAACTTATCAAATATATTTGAATACTTACTTATTTAATAAGTTTATCACAACAATTAGGCTAAAAGCAACAGACAGTATCCTGGCTGGTATGCGGCTATCATGTGCGTCTATCATGCCATAGATGGCCATCCAAGACACCCTGTACACGCTCCGTAGGTTTTGACCAGCCGATTTGGCCATAAAACACATTGGGCCAAAAAAATCCAATCAACGTCAATTTTCAAAATTTTGTTGGAAATGCATAGATTATAACGTGAGCTTGCAAATTTTTACATGGTATAATAGAGGGCGAGTATTTTGAAAGTAATGTACATACACATATAATTGAAATCGGAGTAACTCAAATGCCTACGACCATACCATGTTGAAAGACCGCTTGGGAACACCAGATGTTGTAGGCTTTTATTTAAGGCAAAAGTAATACTTTTATTTTTATACGCTAAGAGTTAATACTGTTTAAAGTTCGGTAATGTCAAAAAGTTAAGCCTAATCGAGAGTGGTGGAAAAATTTTCAATGGGTCAAATTTTGGCCAAAACAATACAAAACCGAAAAATTTTCTTTGCAGTATCAATTTTGTGTACAATCAGCTGCTGATAGGCCAAAAATAATGGAGATAACTTTTGGGGTCTTTGAGTTATAGCAGTTTGATCTTCGGTGATTCAAAAAGATAAGACCAATCGAGCCTGGTGAATTGCGCGAACGGCCATAACTTGCCCAAATTTTTTAAAATTTCCATTTTTTTTATTTGTTTCATAAGATCTTAGTCGAATCTTGAGAGACTGAGAAAAAGAACCGATTTCGTCGGTCCAACTCAAAGTTATAAGCTTTTGAAATTTCGGGATGCCAAAAAATTAAACCTAATCGAGCATGGTGCAAAAAATGAAATTTTCAAAATTTTTAGTTTTTTTTGCTTAAATTTCACTTCTTTCATCTTGTTTCAATAATTTGAGCTCAGGAAAATTCCAACCAGCCCAAAACGACGTTTGTAGCTTAAGTGTACGAGGAGTAATCATTAAAAGTTTGGGGGGGAACCGAATTTTGGCCATTTTGGACGAAAATTAGCCTAAAAGCTAACTTTTAAGTAAGTGCAATTCTTTTTCTTGCAATTTTCAATAAGCTGTTGCAGAGTGCATTCAAGGAAACCTTATCAAATAGATTTGAATTGTTACCTATTTAATCAGTTTATCACAACATTAGGCTAAAGCAACTGACAGTATACTGGCTGGTATTCAATCAGATGCCACTTACAGTGAATGTGCGGCTATTATGCCATAGATGGTCATCCAAGACACCCTGTGCACGCTCCGTAGCTTTTGACCAGCCGATTTGGCCAAAGAACACATTGGGCCGAAAAAATTCCAAACAATGTAAAAATTTAAAATTGTGTTCGAAATGCATAAATTATAACTTGATCGTGCAAAATATTACTTGGTATCAGAGCATATTTTTACTCTCGCGCGTGGGCGAGTGTCTTAAAAGTAATGTAAATAGACACATGCTAGTCAGGATATAAATGAAAGCGGAGTAACTCATATGCCTACGACCATACCATACCATGTTGAATGCACCGGTTCTCGTCCGATCACCGATGTTAAGCAACATTGGGCCTGGTTAGTACTTGGGTGGGAGACCGCCTGGGAACACCAGGTGTTGTAGGCTTTTTTTAAAGACAAAAGTAATACTTTTACTTTTATACAATAAATTTTTTTGCTGTTTATAATTCGGTGATATCAAAAAGTTAAGCCTAAATCGAGCGTGGTGCAAAAATTTTCAATGGGTCATTTTTTGGCAAAAAACAAAACAAAAACGAAAAATTTCTTTCGCAGTATCAATTTTGTGTAAAATCAGCAGCTGATAGGCCAAAATAATGGCGTTAACTTCTGGGGTTTTTGAGTTATTATTTTTTGAATTCCGGTGATGTCAAAAAGTTAAGCCCAATCGAGCCTGGTGAATTGCGCGAACGGCCATAACTTGCTTAAAACTTTTAAAACCTCCAAATTTTTTTTTGGTTCATAAGGTCATGGTCAAATTTGGGGGACTCAGAAAAAGAAACAATTTCGTCGATACAACTCAAAGTTATAAGCTTTTGAAGTCTCGGTGATGCCAAAAAAATAAGCCTAATCGAGCGTGGTGCAAAAAATGAAATTTTCAAAATTTTTTGTTTTTTACTGTTTAAATTTCACTTTTTTCATCTCGTTTCATATTTTCGAGCTCAGGACAATTCCAAGCAGCACAAAACGACGTTTGTAGCTTAAGTTTACGTGGAGTAATCATCAGTTTAAAACTTGGGGCGACCCGAATTTCGGCCATTTTGGACGAAAATTGGCCTAAAACCTAACTTTTAAGTTAGTTTAGTTTTTTTTCTTGCAGTTTTCAGGAGAATTGGGCTGCCCTCCGCTGTCGCAGATTGCATTCAAAGAAACCTTATCACATAGATTTGAATACTTCCCTATTTAATAAGTTTTATACAACATTAGGCTAAAAGCAACTGACAGTATCCTTTTACTTATAATTTTTACTTTTATACGCAAAGAGTTATCGCTGTTTAAAGGTCGGTGATGTCAAAAAGTTAACTAGGCCTAATCGAGCGTGGAGCAAAAAGTTTCAATGGGTCAAATTTTAGTCAAAACAATACAAAACCGATAAACTTAATTTGCAGTATCAATTTTGTGTACAATCATCTGCTGAAAGGCCAAAAATAATGGAGATAACGTTTGTGGTCTTTGAGTTATAGCAGTTTGATCTTCGGTGATTCAAAAAGATAAGCCCTATCGAGCCTGGTGAATTGAGCGAACGGCCATAACTAATATAAAAATTTAAAATTTCCAAATTTTTCCATTTGGATCATAAGATCGTAGTCAAATCTTGTATATGGAGTAATCATCAGTTGAAAATTTGGGGAGACCCAAATTTCGGCCATTTTGGACGAAAATCGGCTGTCGCAGAGTGCATTCAAAGAAAAATTAACAATTATATTTGAATACTTACCTATTAAATAAGTTTATCACAACAATTAGGCTAAAAGCGACTGACAGTATCCTGGCTGGTATTCGATCATATGCCACTTTCAGTGAATGTGCGGCTATCATGCCATAGATGGTCAATCAAGACCCCCTGTACACGCTGCGTGGGTTATGACAAGCCGATTTGGCCATAAAACACATTGGGCCAAAAAATTCCATAAAAGGTCAATTTTAAAAATTTTGTTTGAAATGCATAAATTATAACGTGAGCGTGCAAAATTTTTCATGGTATAAGAGCATAATTTTACTCTCGCGCGAGGGCGACTGTTTTAAAAGTAATGTTCATAGACATATGCTATTCAGGATATAAATGAAAGCAAAGTAACTCAAATGCCTACGACCATACCATGTTGAAAGCACCGGTTCTCGTCCGTTCACCAATGTTAGGCAACATTGGGCCTGGTTACTACTTAGGTGGGAGAACGCCTGGGAACACCAGGTGTTGTAGGTTTTTATCTAAAGCAAAAGTAATACTTTTACTTTTATACGCTAAGAGTTATTGCTGTTTAAAATTCGGTGATGTCAAAAAGTTAAGCCTAATCTACTGTGGTGCAAAAAAAGAAATTTTCAAAATTTTTAGTTTTTTTGTTCAAATTTCATTTTTTTATCTTGCTTCATAAATTCGAGCTCAGCCAAATTCCGACGAGCCCAAAACGACATTTGTAGCTTAAGTGTACGTGGAGTAATCATCAGTTGAAATTTTGGGGTACGCGAATTTCGGCCAGTTTGGACGAAAATTGGCCTAAAAGCTAACTTTCAAATTAGTGCAATTTTTTTTCTTGAATTTTTCAAGAAAATTGGACTGTGTTTTGCTGTCGCAGAGTGCATTAAAAGAAAACTTATCAAATAGATTTGAATACTTACCTATTTAATAGGTTTATCACAACAATTAGGCTATGAGCAACTGACAGTATCCTGGCTGGTATTTGATCAGACGCCAATTACAGTGAATGTGCGGCTATCATGCCATAGAGGGTCATTCAAGACACTCTGTACACGCTGCGTAGGTTTTGACCGGCCGATTTGGCCATAAAACACATTGGGCCAAAAAAATTCAAAACAAAGTCAATTTTCAAAATTTTGTTTGCAATGCATAAATTATAACGTGAGCGTGCAATATTTTACATGGTATAAGAGCACATTTTTACTCTCGCTCGAGTGCAAGTGTTTTAAAATTAATGTACATAGACATATGCTAGTCAGGATATAAATGAAAGCGGAGTAACTCAAATGCCTACGACCATACTCACCGATGTTAAGCAACATTGGGCCCGGTTAGTACTTGGATGGGAGACCGCCTGGGAATACCAAGTGTTGTAGGTTTTTATTTAAAGCAAAAGTAGAACTTTTACTTTCATACGCTAAGAGTTATTGCTGTTTAAAATTCGGTGATGTCAAAAAGTTAAGCCTAATCGAAATGGTGCAAAAATTTTCAATGGGTCAAATTTTGGTCGAAACAATACAAAACCGATAAATTTATATACCGTATCATTTTTGTGTAAAATTAGCTGCTGATAGGCCAAAAATAATGGAGATAACTTTTGAGGTCTTCGAGTTATAGCATTTTGAATTTCGGTGCTGCCAAAAAGTTAAGCCCAATCGAGCCTTGTGAATTGCGCGAACGGCCATAACATGCCCAAAAAATTTAAAATTCAAAATATTAATATTTGGATCTTGAGATCGTGGTCAAATCTTGGCGGAATGAGAAAATGAAACGATTTTGTCGGTCCAACACAAAGTTATAAGCTTTTGAAATCTCGGTGATGCCAAAAAATTGAGCTTAATCGAGTGTCGTGCAAAAAATAAAATTTTCAAAAAATTTTTTTTGAATAAATTTCTATTTTTTTACCTCGTTTCAAAAATTTGAGCTCAAGAAAATTCCAACGAGCCCAAAACGACATTTGTAGCTTAAGTGTCCATAGAGTAATCATCAGTCGAAATTCTGGACGACGCGAATTTCGGCCAGCTTGGACGAAAATCGGCCCAAAAGCTATCTTTTAAGTTAGTGAAATCTTTCAAGAAAATTGGACTGCTTTTCAGTGTCGCAGAGTGCATTCAAAGAAAACTTATGAAATAGATTTGAATACTTACCTATTTAATAAGTTTATCACAACAATTAGGCTATAAGCAACTGACAGTATACTGGCTGGTATTTGATCATACGCCACTTACAGTGAATGTGCGGCTATCATGCCATAGATGGTCATTCAAGACACTCTGTACGCGCTGCGTAGGTTTTGACCGGCCGGTTCGGCCATAAAACACATTGGGCCAAAAAAATTCCAAACAATGTCAATTTTCAAAATTTTGTTTGCAATGCATAAATTATAATGTGAGCGTGCAATATTTTACATGGTATAAGAGCACATTTTTACTCTCGCGCGAGTGCGAGTGTTTTAAAATTGATGTTTATAGTCATATGCTAGTCAGGATATAAATGAAAGCAGAGTAACTCAAATGCCTACGACCATACCATGTTGAAAGCACCGGTTCTCGTCCGATCACCAATGTTAAGCAACATTGGGCCTGGTTAGTACTTAGGTGGGAGACCGCCTGGGAACACCAGGTGTTGTAGGTTTTTATCTAAAGCAAAAGTAGAACTTTTACTTTTATACGCTAAGATTTATTGCTGTTTAAAATTCGGTGATGTCAAAAAGTTAAGCCTAATCGACCTGGTGCAAAAATTTTCAATGGGTCAAATTTCTGTCGAAACAATACAAAACCAATAAATTTATATACCGTATCATTTTTGTGTACAAGAAGCTGCTGATAGGCCAAAAACAATGGAGATAACTTTTGGGGTCTTTGAGTTATAGCATTTTGAATTTCGGTGATGCCAAAAAGTTAAGCCCAATCGAGCCTTGTGAATTGCGCGAACGGCCATAACATGCCCAAAAAATTTAAAATTCCAAAATATTAATATTTGTATCTTAAGATCGTGGTCAAATCTTGGCGGGATGAGAAAATTAAACGATTTTGTCGGTCCAACACAAAGTTATAAGCTTTTGAAATCTCGGTGATGCCAAAAAATTGAGCTTAATCGAGTGTCGTGCAAAAAATAAAATTTTCAAAAAAATTTTTTTTGGATAAATTTCTATTTTTCTACCTGGTTTCAAAAATTTGAGCTCAAGAAAATTCCAGGGAGCCCAAAACGACATTTGTAGCTTAAGTGTCCATAGAGTAATCATCAGTCGAAATTTTGTGGGACGCGAATTTCGGCCAGTTTGGACGAAAATCGGCCTAAAAGCTATCTTTTAAGTTAGTGAAATCTTTTTTCTTAAATTTTTCAAGAAAAATGGACTGCCTTTCAGTGTCGCAGAGTGCATTCAAAGAAAACTTATCAAATAGATTTGAATACTTACCTATTTAATAAGTTTATCACAACAATTAGGCTATAAGCAACTGAAAGTATCCTGGCTGGTATTTGATCATACGCCACTTACAGTGAATGTGCGGCTATCATGCCATAGATGGTCATTCAAGACACTCTGTATGTGCTGCGTAGGTTTTGACCGGCCGATTGGGCCATAAAACACATTGGGCCAAAAAAATTCCAAACAATGTCAATTTTCAAAATTTTGTTTGCAATGCATAAATTATAATGTGAGCGTGCAATATTTTACATGGTATAAGAGC